TAGTGTGCTTCTGCTCAGCCCAAATGTTTCTGCTTTAAGGTTGTTTCTTATCTCTACTCTTCCAGCTGCTGGCTGTGATTTTTTCAAAACTGCAGGAACCTAGGCAAGATACAAAATAGCCTGTGGTTACATGAGAAGCTGCTCTATATATGCAGCAGAAGGAAATAAAGCTTCACAGAGGCTTGAACCCTGATTTTTCTCCTCTTATTTTCAGAACACTGTCTCTGGCTTCTCCCTCCCTAATCCCTTTCAGTACATTTCTCCAAGCCAGAGTCAGTATGTGCCAGAGCTGGTTTTGAGCAACATTTGAGGATAATCCAGTTAGTAGTAGCCATAGTCAACAATCCACAACAAACTACTTCCATCTGCCTCTTAGTGGCAAGGGAGGGGAGGGAAAAAGGGGAGTTCATCTGGGTCTCCCTTTCTTTTTGTCACTTGTAGCAACTTAACTTTTGAATCCACTGGTAATTCCATGTTATAAATATTAGAGTGCAGAATAGAGGTAGACAAGACAGTCCCACAAGCTTTGGCAGGAAAGGGTAGTCAACAGGGAAAATGACCCACACAAAATCTTGCTAATCTGAAGACAGTCTCCTTGGAAATCTTCATACAGCTTGGTACAACAGGGCTCTACAATGCCATGAGCATCAATGGCAAAGGCAGCTGGTGTGCACGTGAAAAGCTATTACAAACTTCGGATTGGGAGTCAGGACATGACAACCGTGGCATCATTCTCCAGAGAGATTTTACAGCTGGTACCTGTCCACATCGTCCTTTTATCTTCACCTTCTCTTTTACAAGACAGGGACTACAGATCCAGAGGTAGTATGTGGGTGGGAGGAGGCAGCCAGCATCTATTATGTCCCTCACTGTGAACAGACTGCTGCGGCAGCAGTGAAGGCAAATTAGGGCTGCTTCTACCATTAGCCTCAGCCTCCCTTGGGCTGCCAGGGGAAAGTAAATACAGCACGTCTCAAGGAACAGCCTGCAGCTTCACTTCTGGCAACAGTGAGCAGTATCTTACTGCTCAAGTGTATCTTTGCCAGTGCTGGGGCTTCCCACCTCGTTCAATCCAGCTAGGAAGAACCTCCTTCTTTGTCAAGGAGACACTGAGCTGAATTCCCCCATGCTCTGTGGCCCACCCCTCTACAATGGCTTATTTCCTGCTTTAGAAGTGGACCGTACACGCAGAGTCTGAAGGGGAAACCCTAGCCAGCCATACGTACGTGAGGAGGTAGTGGAGGTTCTAGGTGCCGCCCGAGGAAGGAAAGCAAGCGTCGCCATATCAGACCACTTCCCAGAAACATAATCCCTGTCACCAGCCAAAATATTCTGGGGTCCTACTGACAGAACGTTCCCATTAGTCATGCAACTCTCTCTTCAGAAAAGGGATTATCCAAAGATAATCTCTCACACCCCACCAGTGTTCTCCTCCTTTCTGGGAGGAAGTGGTAAACTCTCTACCATCAACAGCCAAGCCCTACCTTGGGAAAAGGGCTGTTTCATAGCAAAACATTTTATTTAGGAATCACCCTAGTGTATTCTGTTACTGTCCCATGCAGTTTTCCTTCCTTCGTTGGGAAGTTTGGAAATTCAACCCTTCTATTTAATGGATTGAAAAGAGATGAAGTCTTTGTTTTGTTTTGTTTTTTTTTTTTTGTTTTAAACATAGCATGTGCAATTGTAAATTTGTACCCCTCAGTCTGTACCCCCCCCAATCTAGGTATAAACATGTAACTGGCAGTAGAGTATTTCCTCTGGTGTGCTGGAAGTGCCCTGGCTGCTTGCCAGATACCCTTGTACCTGGAAGACAAAGCTTTTCAGGTCTTTTCAGAAGAACAGATGATCATTAAAGAAACCTTAATACTGCATTTTAGACAGTCCTTATACAACCATAGATTTGTCTTCCCATTTCTCTTCCATGGACATTACACAGAAAAAAGGCTGCAATACTGTGCAGTTAGCCATACAGTAATTGGCTTACAAAAAAGTGACTGCATGAACACATGAATCACTGGACTAAATTATATTCACACTCTAATATCAATCTGGAGCGTTACCTATGGAAAGAATGAAGTTGTACTGAATATAAAATGCACGGTAAGAGTAGGGTGCATGTTTTATGCCACTGATAAAAGCAGCACTCGTTCCTTACCTCTTCAAGAGATGACTCCAAGTTCATACCGAATGCAACTCCTATGAGTCCAAAGAGAGAGAGAGAGAAAGTCCCCATAGTCAGCTGCAAGTTCAGTCTCATCATCACATTACGGTGGCTAAAGAAGGGAGAAACATCTGTAAGGGGAACCCAAAAATTGATTTGCTGCCTAAATTCTCAAATTCCATACAGCATGCAATAAAACCAAATAGTGAAAGAGAGGAAGTCATGCTGGAATTAGGCAACCCGGTGACAAAGCTCATGAAACAACAGTATAAAAGAGGCTATCATTTTGAAATTGCTGCATCAGGATACCTCTAAGGCAGCAGGTTCTGCTTAATCATCAGCAGACTTTCCAGCATCGCTCACTTCTTAGAGGTGTATACACACAGAGTAACAGTAAATTTCCATGGAAATCTGTGTTCTCTCACCACTAACTGGCTGGAATTTATATGTCCGTCTTCACAAGAAACAAAAATTTACTGTTACCTTGCAAATGAATATACTTACAAAGAAGTAGAGTCGGTAAATGCTGCAGACTATAAACTTGAGCCTGTTTTGGAGAATTCCATATTCAAGTCTTCCCCAAAAGGATTTTTGTGGTTTCCTGATGCAGCATCTGCCAATTGCTTCTACAGATAACTCCCCAGTAAAGAGGAGAAAATATATTAAACACTGACCTCAAAGACAGAGTGGCATGTGCTTGCAAATGCAAGCTACAATTATTTTTCAGTGAGAAAGCTGACTAGCAGTGAAAACTGTAGCATACAGAGAGAAAATACTCACTCCAAAGTTACTCATTCTTGTATCACTCCATAAAGTGATAATGCAACTTGTACTGAACACCTGAGTAGCCTAGCCAGACTCTTAAATAAGTCAGTTTTGCTGAATTAAGAGTAAACTTTCCTGAGTAGAATTTTATTTTGCTCCTAAATTTGCAGACATTTCCTTTAGTGAATAGCTCCCCAGAAGGATCTAGGAGAAGCTTGGTTTCTCCTGCTAGGGAAAACTGATGCCTAGCTAGAGAGGTTTTTACACATACTAATTGGGCTGTCTTGTTGCTTTGCTTTATCCAGTTCACTGACAAGAAAAGAGCAATGCAGCTTCTTGTGCTGTGACTGCAAGTCCATTCAAACCCTCATGAAGATGGAATTCCCCAACTTTCCTTGTGGGCAGCTTTGAGAAAGACTAGGCAGCATTAAATTCTGCTCAGCTTTTGGCAGTCCAACAGATAGGGTAGCTAACCTGTCCAGGTTGATAAAGATTATGCTTTCCGAGTCGTCAATCAGTACCCTGAGTTCACGAGCTTCATTTGCAAGATCTTCTGCTTGTCTGTAATAGTTCTCCAGCAGCAGCTCCATTTCCTCTGCATGGTCAATCCCAGATGTACTCTCCTCACTGTAAGCAACAATTCATATTTTTCTGGTTAGCTACATGTTATATGGAAGTGTATTATTGATGTGTTAAGACAAGGCACATGAGAGTTGTGGGGAACAGCCAACAACAACAGTGCTGTTAGACACTAGATCTCAAAATCCAATCTTTTCAGTGAGGAACTTCCATCAATACCAACAGCTTAAAATAAAAGGCATATTTTTATATCTATCAGCTGATCAGCAGAGGCAGTCAATTATTTTGAGTAGAGCAGTTAGCATTTGATGTGCTCAAGGCATGCACAACACCACAAATCTTACTTTTTCAGATACTAAAAAGTAGTAAAGTTATATAAATTTTGTATTATTTATAAAGCTTATATTATTATAAATGTTTATATTAAGTTATTATAAAGTGCTGACAATTTTGAAAGGAGATGCTTAATTTCTTGGTGCCCTCAAGTGGTGGAAGCTGGTAACAGTGCAGTCAAAAACTCCCAAGAATAAAACATAACCAAAAGTCAACACACAAACAATTACACTGCGAGGGAGGTGTTTTAGGTGTATATAAAAATAGTTCAGTTGTAAGGTGTTTCAGCTATACACAGTAATTACTGCAAAACGTTTTGGGAGCATGAAGCAGCTGAAGAGTGAGCATCAAATGGAAGATGCTGCTCTCCTAAGTGAACTCTGTCTGAAGAGCTTTCATCTTTACTTCATGGTCGACTGATGGTGCAGCAGCCTTCTCTGGAACAGGTATGTATATTTCTGGCATTGTACTGGATTGTTCACTGTGTAGATGAAAGCTGAGGCACTTGAGATCCACAAGAGCTTGGAAACTAGCAGCAAAGCCAGGAAGATTATTTTTTTCTTCTGTGGTATGACCTTATTTCTCTAGAGACTACACTTTTTAAAGAATCTCCTCCTGGCATTGCTGA